TCCTATGCTTAGGCCGGTTTATTCGTGCAGTTAGTTCCACGAACAGGCTTTATTTATTGCTAAAATTCAGCTTACTCATTTAACGCTATTTTTTGCGTTTTTGGTATTTTTGTTATCCCTAGCGAACGAAATAGCAATTAAACTTCACTGGTGTTCTAGTGATATCATGTAAACAGGTTCCGACTAGCTTGAGTTTTTTTAATAAGTTATGCAAAGAGCATGAGTTACGTTACTCACTTCGCCAGAAGTAAAACGCAATTCAGAAATCGACAACAGGGGAGAGGACAAGAGACTTATATGTCAGTCAAACCTGGAAGGTGGTCCACGTCCGGTCGAGTGGTTTCATCGCCTCTCGTAGTGAGTGACGCGTGTCGAATACGTTCTTCAATTCCACCAGCAAAAGGCTTTTTAAAGTGCTACCAGAATTGACGTGAAGGAGAGTCGACCTAGAGGAGAAGAAAACTTATAAACATACAGGACGAACAGCTATTGAATATTTATAAATAGACGTCATGTTACTAACTTGAATTGTGTGTATGCTGATGGGCGGCCCTGGAAACTGGCAGACAACATGATAGGTATTTTATCCAGGATATCCACAAGTGCCAGTTGATCCATCGCGTCACCGATAACATCTAACCAGCCCTCAGTGGCCGATGCACTTGGCGGAGTCATAAGGCGTTCCACCTGGCCAGAAAGGGGATCTAGCTTCTCACGCGCCTTCGATAGCAAACGAGAATGAAGCTAAAGAAACGCAAAAAAGGAACGTTAAAATCGGACTAGAAATTGTTGCACATAGATAAAAACAAGTAGTTACACCAAAAAAGACTAAGAAGACACTAAAGGAAAATGGATTCCCAAGTAATATCCAAGTAAAGGCCTTAGACAGTCCAAGAGAAAGGGCAGCTTTTTAGTTATCCAGTAAATTCAAACGCAATTGCTAAGTAGGAAATAAATAAAAAGGGAAATGCTGGGTGTAATTCCAGTCCCATCGCATTGCTTTTAAGCAGCTAACTTTAGCACAACCCCAAGACAGGATGCCCTGAGATCTTGGTATGCTCAGGCCCAGAAAAACCTGAGATTTGGACTCGCCCGGGTTGTTCCTCGAACATTTGGGTTAGGCGCTGCCGATTGAGCCATAGACCCATGTCGTACCGGCTGAAATTGGGCCCATTCACAGTAAACTGGGAGTGACACGACGGACTTAATCGTATCGGTGTACGCCTATCTACTCATGTATAGTCCCGATCAACAACCGTCAAAACGTCGGGTCCGTTAGTTCAATGGTTAGAGCGTTTGCCTTTGACCGAAGAGACGCGGGTTCGAAACTCTAGTGTGGCGGCAATTTCCGCTGCTACACTGGAGTAGGGTATCTCCAGCTGACTATGGCAAATAAGCCAGTAAAGGGCTTCCTGGAGCCTCCGTCTTACGGTAAAATGTCCTAAAAATTTTATAAGTGTTCAAAATTTTTCATAGTAGAAGTGCTTAATGTCCACCCGAAAGTACAGATAACGAGTGCTTGGAAAAAGGACTAATCTGAGATTATTACGCGCAGGAGTTGAGAGTACAATGGCAATACTGCTGCTGACACGTACATACCTTCAGGTAATCAAGACGTAAGAGTTTAGCCTTTGCGACTAGATCACGATCAACTCTTGGATCGAGGCTCTCCCAGGTAGGTAGGTCGGGCACGTCAGAAGTCGATGCTGAAGCGGTCTGAGGACAAACACCGACAACCGGTCTAGTATCCTTGATGCAGTCTGATGCCGGTGGGTCATCGGCAAAGGGGACTGAACAGCATTGAATTAGCCAGTTCAGGTTGGTGATTGCATGCAGTCTCTGGCTCCAGTCGGACAGAACTCCGTACTTCTTCTCCAACTTCGATGCCGTCTGAAGGACGTCTCGATAGCAGTTGGCTGCGTCAACGTACTAAAGATAGAAGATGCTACTGTTAGCAAGCACAATAAAATACGTAGTCGATAAGATAGAGGATCCATGAATTTTCCAGGGTTGACAACTGACCTTCTCCTTGAGGATGAAGCATCCAGCGGCACCATTTTTGGAGAAGACCCATGAGCGGTAGTCAGATTCACACTCGTGCCTCGTCTCATCTATGACACGTCTGATGACTTCGGTCATTGTTGCACAACTATAAGATGTGTAGTGAAAAAAAATAATTTAGTCGGAGCTTTTAAAAAATTACTTAATGCAGAAGAGACATTAGCGTATTCTCAAGGAGAAATTGGAGTGGTCGGGGAACAGTTACAGCGGCCAGAATGAAAGGCTCATAATGAATATAGATTGCTAATGCACTCGATTCGGATATGGGGGATTTGGCCAAAAATTATTACTTAAATAGGCTAAACACAATATAAAACTGAAAAATATGACCAAAAGTAGTCGAAAAAGAAAAATTGAGAAATTCCCGACGGTATATATGAAAGGCATGTTAAACGATTATGCAGACAGGCAAGTGGTTAGTTTCGAAAGGTAATAAACAATAGCGAACGGTACTCCTTCATACTCCTTTTCCGTGTCATTCAGCGTCGAAGGTGGTAATGTTTGACGTCGGCTCTGCTACAGTATAACCTCGCCACAACCACAGTTTGACCGTCACAGGCGAGGTCAACCACGACGCTCAACGAGGTGGACGAAGAAACGAGCAATAGCACGTAAAATAATTTACGCCGAGGTGGACTTGCGCAGCATCTACCACACTCTCGCCTCCCTCACCCAACTTGCTTTAATGGCAAGACAATGTCAAAACAACCGAAGCAGGATGAGAGCATGGCGGGCGGGAAAAATAAAACGGCCGGTGCACCAGATGTGCACCAGGCAAACATAATGGCGACTCAAATCCCATATAGTTAGGGCTAAGGTAAAAAAAATACATTCAATAATAGACCTTAAAGTTTGGCCCTAAGGCTGTCAGTGGGCATCCTTCCAGACCACAACTGAAGAAAGGCTAGATTAGATTCCACTGAGCTAGGCTTATTATTATGGAGTGCACTGCTGTAACATAAGGATGAAGCTGTGGCGGACAGCCAACATTGCTGTTTGGCTTCATTGTATAATCCACTGCCTCCAGTCATGCAACTTCGTAGGCAGCTAGTTCCGACTCGCTGACCTGCAGATTCGTGACCAACTTCCACTCGGGCACACATACGCGTCCAGATAGTCACGGCTGCCAAAGGGCCACTTGACACGCGCCCCCTCGACCGTCACAGCATGGGCCACTATACACGAATTTGAACTTGCTCTACAGTCGTGAAAAAGCAGCCGCCACCACTGTCTTACTCTCTTTCAGGCATGACTAAACGCAGACAACAGTAGCCATGGCTTCGTCAGTGGCTACAGTTACCTGAGACAGCAATGCAGGGGTCTGCGCACAATAAATCCCTCAATCTGGTGCCTTCTGTTTCTTAACCTACACCTTCGGATTCTGTCTTAGGACTGTATTGCTCCGGGTATATACACCGCTTAGACACTATGGATTTCCCAGTATCCGTCCAACTCTCTGTTTCTCCTAGCATGGAGCGGCCGACCATCCAATCTGTGAAACAGCTGGTAATGATACAACGGGGCACCGTGGCCGACATGGCCACGCAAGACCAGGCCCCCAGTTCGCGTACTACACTACGCCGAAGGACATGC